AAGCAATCTTCCCACCTCAGCCTCCCAAGTAGCTGAGACTAAAGGCATGTGACACCACGCCCAGTCCCTACTACTTGTTTTCAAAAAGGGTAAATGTTAGAGTACGTAGCATTTGTTTTATCAATAACCAAGCAAATCTATTTTAGTAAATATTCCCTATTAAAAAAAAGTAAAGCTTTCATACTGATCTGTCTGAACAAATTTCTTCTTCTAAATTATAAATTTCAAATTACAAAAGTCTCTGAATTCTAAAACTTCAAAATTTTTAAACTATTATTAAAATGCTTGTCCCACTGCCTTGAGTTGCATCTCCCAAGAAACAGACTCTGAGATAAAGGTTTTTGTGCAAGTAGTTTATTTGAGAAGTACTCTAGGAAACATCTTTAATCAAGTAAAGGATGCCAATAAAAGATGCATTATGTAGCCAATTATGACTCTAGGCAACTGGGACTCAAGCCTGCTGGAGATCTCTGGGAGAACGTATGGAACATTTCTCAGAGTTAGCTTGCCTTAAGTATGAAGGAACTAGGATAATTATACCACAACTTCTGTAATTCATTATTTAAGGAAAAAGAATCGATGATGTTTAAAACCCAAAATGTAAACAGCTTGTCAGAGGTATTTGAACCAGAAGAACTCCATCTTGAATAAGGGGTGGGTAAAATAAGGTTGTAACCTACTGAGCTGCATTCCCAGGAGGTTAGGCATTCTTGTCACAGGATGAGATTGGAGGTCAGCACAAGATAGAGGTCACAAGGACCTTGCTGATAAAAACAAGTTGCAGTAAAAAAGCTAGCCAAAAGCCACCAAAACCCAAGATGGCAACAAAACTGATCTGTGGTCGTCCTCACTGCTCATTATACACTAATTATAATGCATTAATATACTAAAAGACACTTCTACCAGCGCCGTGACAACATCAGAACCCTATAAGGTCTAAAAAAAGGAGGAACCCTTAGTTCCAGGAATTGCCCACTGCTTTCCTGGAAAACTAATGAATAATCCACCCCTCGGTATTCAATCCCCACCACTCTATAAATTCTATCCATCATTCAAAATCCATTTAAATGCCACCTTCCCCATGAAAGCGTTGTCTTCTGTCCCACCTCAAACTAGAGGTGATTTTTCCAACCTCTAAATTTGGTCTTAGTGCTCTATCATCTGACACTATTATGTAACAAGTAAGAACTTGGTTTTATGCAAAATCTTAACAGCAACTCTTTCAAAAGGTTCTAAAAAACCCTATGAAGTAGTAGAGGGTTTCATTTACAGAATGAATAAACTGTGGATCAGAGAATAAATTTACTCAAGAAGACAGGTACTAAGTAGCAGAAATAGGAACTGAAGCTAGGCCAGTCTCCAGAGATCACTCTTAACTATTACACTATATATTTGTTATTTTTGTATTGACTAAACTCCATCCTATCAAACGAAAGTACCACAAAGGCAGGAATGATCACTGCCTATATTCCTAGTTATCACCTAGCACAGGGTGCACTTCCATACAGTAGATGCCCAAAGATTTACTAATCTAATCACCTAGTACAGGGGGACTTCAAAAGGTTCATGGAAAAAAAAACAAAATGAAAAGATAAAAATATAAACACCATTTCTCAATATAAGTTCCATCAAGTTCAAGACACTTTTGTAAGCAATGGTATCGGCCATTTAGTCCAGCCCCAAGCAACTGAGGGGTCCTGAGGATTTAACCATGTCAATGCAGTCTTTTTTACATTATTTACTAAAGAAAAAAGTGGGTGCCTTTTAAAGATTTTTAAAAGTAAGAAACAAAAAGAAGCCGGAAGAAGCCAAATCAGGACCATAAGGTGGGTGCCTAATCATTTCCCTGAAAACTCTCAAAATATTGTCCTTGTTTGATGAGAGGAGTGAGCGGGGGCACTGCCATGGTGATGCTTTCCTGGGCATTTTTCTGCTAAAGCTTTGGCATTCTTAAAATATACTCATAATAAGCAGAGGTTATATATCACTCTTCGGCTCTCCAGAAAGTCAACAAGCAAAATGCCTTGAGAAATCCCAAAAACCTGTTGTTCTGATATGTGCTCTTGACTGGTCTACTTTCACTATGACAGGACCAATTTCTACCTCTTGGTAGCCATTGCTTTGATTTGAAAGTCAGTGCTTTGTCATTAAGATCATACTGGTAAAGCCAAGTTTCAACTCCTGTTACAATCCTTTGAAGAAATGCTTCAGGATCTT